AAGTAGTATTTATCAGCATGATGTACACTTACTCATTTTGATTGAGAGCAATATAATCTGATTTTTTTAAGGTCTAACATTGCCCATGCGGGGCTGCACTAACCCTTCTGCATGCAGAGCCCATTACCTTTATTGCTACCTGCGGACCAGCAGCCATAGAAAAACTCAAACCCTCGGCCATAAAGGTTAAACTTAAGGTAAAACTCATTTTTTCATAACTTTCAAGCCTCCAAGTTGCCCCAAAATAACAATCTACAATCCCTAATGCAGACACAGCGAGCTCTGGCTTACAGGAATGCCTTGGGATACGCTTGCAAATGTTTAGGATCAATCCTGAGGTTAACTAGGGTTTAAACTCAGCTCTGTCAGGTCTGATGTTAAAAGAATTCCCCAAAAACTGGGAATTAAACTATCCTTTACAACAAGAGCTGACTTCAGTATGGAAAACTTTACATGGAAATTATGCCTGAGCATGCAACTTCAGGAAGGCACTCAGCTGTAAGGATGGCCCCTTTTGGGTTCTTGAATGATTAAAAAATAAAAAAGAACCCCAAGGATTCATGAACTGAAATCATAAACTAAAGAATATATATTCAATCTTATGTCTACACAACAACGTATTTACTCACTTAAAGAAATGGAGAGCAAAGAAAATCTTATTTTGCTAATACAATTTCAGCCACAGTGTATCAGATGAAAACATGTCTGGAACAGAAATTAACGTATGCTATCTTCACATAAATAGCCTGCCAAACTGGGACATAGTAACAGCTTCTAAATATCACAGCAAAAAATAATAAATATTACTCAAAAACAAACAAAAAAGGATTCACTGGCTCAAAGTGACAAAGTCAGAGGAAGAAAATTAAATTTCAAGTCTTTTAAACATTATTTTATTGGTCGTCCTCAGAGTCGTACTTTGCTAAAACTCCTTTATTATTCAGAAATGAATTCTACCTTGCATCCTCTGCACCACATCTATTATTTTGATGCCTGTTCCTCCAATATGGGAGCACATATCCTAAAGGCAGCAATATTTTTAGCTCTCCTCTTTAAAACCATATATGGTTTGAAAGTACCTGTGAAGAAGTCCCAAAGTAAAACAGTATTTCTCAGTAATTTTTTCCCTAAGGCACTACTGTTGTATTGGCTACAAGGTATAGCTAATATATTTGAGAATTTGGAAAGTTAAGTCTAGTCGTAACCGGTCGATGCCTTGAACAACTCTACCACTTTCACCTATGTTTTATATTGGATTCCAGTTTATGATTCTTTCTTTGTAAAGAACATATTTTAATTAATTGTTCCATTAAAAAAAAAGAAAAGCTGCTATCTGCTTTTTTGTTAGAGCAACTCCGCAACTACATGCATTAAAATAAAATCTATTGCAACATAAATAGAGGTGTTGCTTTACTATATACCTGTGTCTATATGTGATATATTATCACCCAAGAAGGGCCATCTAAAACGTCACAGTTGCAAACATTTAAGACTGTAACAAAAATGACTGAGACTCCAGTATCAGTTTACTATCCTTCGACAATTTCCCTGACAGTGGAGTCAAATAATGTTGAATTATGGACCTTCTTGCAGGAAGTCTTATTTCATGTTCATTTTTTGATCATTTCCCTCATAGTTCCTATAGGAATTTGGCTCTTCGTCGATTTGCCTTTAAAAGTTTCTGCATTTGTAATTGGCTTGTGCATTATTAAATCGCACTTTTTGTCAAGCAATGCTACTGAGGACAGACTCAACAAGTTTATTTTCAGTAAGAAAAATACTGTTTTGTCCCTATAAAATCTATCTTGCACAGCTGATGCATTTTACTTGAATGTGGTGGGTACTTTGTACCACATTTTCCTTAAAGAACTTTCTAAAGGCTTTCTTGTAGACACGCTCTTGTAGGAGAATTTTACAGTTTGGACTAGAGCACCTGAGTGCCAAGGTGATAAGGCTTCAAAAAAGCAGCCCCACAGTAATAGCTCAGGATTACCTACGAAACTGAATTTCTCTTGTCGGACTGCAGGCAGTCTTTGGGCTTTTTTTTTTTTTAAATCAGAGGGAACTTTCCCATACACATCACACAACAGCTGTGTTCTAAATCTTTCTGGGCTCTGACAAACACTGAAAATTTAAACATGCAAATGTTTGAAAAGCTAATGATTAAAAAAGGTTTATTTTGAAACTTTTGAGGATGACTTCAATTCTTCAGCTAGGTTTTTTTAAGTCCTGGGGTCTGGATGATTTTGAGTTCAACTCTCCCCAGCAAAAAGCCCAGGCTCCTGCCTTGTACTTGGGAGCTGTGACGGTAAACACCGACACTGCAGGTCTCACCCTGGCAGGCAGTGGGGTCGAGCCCGTGGGAGAAGGATGCTATTTTAGTGACCTAGTGCCACTGAGCTGGTTAAATCACTGAACAATGGTTAGTGTTATAGGGCTTTACTTTGCAAAATCTAGCATTAGTGTCATTGCTTTCTATTAACCGGGGGGACTTAAAGGCACTGCCTTTGAGGGGCCTTTAGGGAAAGAATAAATAAGGGGAAACCAATAAATTAAAAGAAAAAAACACCCTGTTAACTGTAACCTTTACTACCACAATATAAGAAAATGTAATTAAATCCATAATAAAAGCTTTTACATACTTACTCTTTTACTACTCTCCAAGCAGAGCCGTGGGCAGGCGGGGGGCCCCACGCCCGCAGCCAGCCCCTCGCTCCCAGCCCTGCGCGCCCGCGCATCCCAGGGCCGCGCGGCCATAAACGCGCCCTGCGCAGTCACATCCTAATTAGCCGCCCCGGCGACCAGCACTCAACACCTTATTATTGAACCATTAGGGCCCCGATACTGCCGGCCGCGCCGGGGCCGGGCTTGGCATCGGAGTTTACCGGAGGGGACTGCGCATCCCCCGGCGAACCCCCCCGCCGCCCGCCCGATCTCCGCGGGCCGCGTCCGCCGCCCCACCGCCCGGGCAAGGGGAGCGTGGAAAAGAGTATTTTTGCACCTTTGGGAAGCAAAGCCCCGCTCCCCGCGCAGCTCCGCGGGCGCGGAGGGCTCGGTGGGGGCCGGGGCAGCGCTCGCACAAGCGGGCGTGCCGGGGCCGAGCCCCGCGGCCGGGCCGCGCAGCGGGAGCGGGCACGGCGCAGCGTCCGCGCTCCGGGCAACAAAACGGGGGGCGCGGGGTGGTGGAGAAACACACCGACCCCCAACAACCCCAAAACTGCAGCTCTATTTCTTTAGCTTTCACTTTAATAAAATAATGATTCGTTGGGAAAATGGGGTATAAATCTTCATTTTGGAGGCAATTAAAGTGTTGATTTCATTCGTGCCCCTGAGCAATTCTTGTAATTTGCTCAAATAGCTTTATGTACCCAGCACTCCAGAGCTTTTAGAAACCCATTTTCTAGTTAGACTTGTTGGATTACAATTTTTATTCAACATCAGCAAGCCGAGCTTCTCTCAACTAGACTCTGGCTGGAGGGTTCCCCTCGCTCTAAGGCACTCCGTGGGGCTGGCGGCTCCCGGGAGCATCCTCACCAGCCCCGGGTACCTCCCTGCCACACCACCCTCCACCCACTCTGCCAAGCTTTTTCCCTTGTACAGCAAAATAAAAAAAATCCCTTCAAAGCAACCTACCTATGTGCACATAAACCCCTTTCTAAAAGTTCATGCCTTCCTTCAAGCCTGCCTCCCCTGTCACAAACCGACAGCCTTTGGCAGACAGGAGAAAATATTTCAGATACTGCCCACATTGCAATGCAACGCACCTTTATGTCGGTAATCTATAAAATAACTCCCAGCTGACAGTGCCAGTGATAGCAGCAAAGCAGCTGAGGAAACTCCTGTCTGCTTGGCTGCGCCTTGCTTGAACAAAAGGAAACCTCCAGAGTCAGGAGCAGATCACTCCTAACACTATATTTACGTAGCTGATCAAAAAGAAGAAATAACTTGAGGGGTTTCACCAGGGATTTCTTTTTCACGCGTGTGCTTGAGGTCCCCTCTCTCACAGGCAAAGCGCTGCTACCCCTCGGTTCAGAGCAAGCAAACAGACCGCGAAAACCCCACCGTTTCACCCAACTCGAGAAAAAGCCAAATCTCAGTCACTACCATCATCCAGGAGCTTAATTGAGATCTGGGCACCTTCTGCATTAGCCCCAAGTGCTCCCACGAAAAGGCAAGGACCCGTCTGCACCCAGTGGAAGGAGGAGGGATGGGAGAGGGGACAGCCAGCTCTCCCCACTCAGCTCACCCGCATTTCCCACCCCGCTGCAGCCGACATTAAAGGTCTGAACCATCCCAAACAAAACCTGGACAACCGTCACAGCCACGCGAGGCTTTGCTGCCTTGGTTTTGACTATATTTATTTTTTAAAGAGAGGGCTTGAAAACTTAAAAGATCAAGGAAAAGAATTTAAAACCTGAATCCCATTTTATTTTCTCCTTTTTTTTTTCCTATTAAGTAAAATAAAATGGGCGCGTTTGCAGCAGGCAGGCGTGCACAAAGCAATGTTCACTCAAGTCTAAAAGCGTTCGGCCAAGGAAAACTGACAAGACGGACTAATGAACCGTAGAGACGGGAAGAAAATAGCCAGTATTTGCTAGATTTCAAACCCTCTCTGTCTTCTCTGGACCACCTATCTCGGATTTTATTATTATTTTGGTCAACGACTCCAGCCCTTCCTTCCCTAAGCTACCAAGAAGCCAGTGATTCACAGATACCACTTCTATTATTGGAAAGGGTAAATAAAATAAAGACAAAAATTAAAAGCGACAAGAAACAGGTCGAGTTTGCAGGCGATGCTTTTACAAGCTCATCTCGCCAGGTCGAATCTGGGAGCAAGCCTTAATGAAGCAATAATAGCCACATTATTCAAAAATTTTCATTTCGATGGAAATTTATCTAAAAGGGACTTAATCATATGCAAATAATAAAAGGAGGCGTAGTGACCCAGCAAGCGATCTGCATACAAATTTTAGCGTTGTGCGACGTTGGCGAGATCATACCTGATCCGTTAGATTTGCTGATCTTGTTATGTCTTCACTGTCCGATTTTGATCCGCCCTCTCTATCGTCTATGACCAAATCGATAGGCATTTTTCCTTTCAAACAGCTAATATACCGGTGGCAGAAATTGTCACATAATTCGTGTACCTACATTATGACAGAGGTTAAAAAAAAAAAAGAAGAAGAAAAAAGAAAAAGAAGAGAGGGGGAAAAAAAAGGAAGAAAATATAATCAGGAATACATAAGTAAAATTGACAAGTGCAACCAGTCTCCCCCCTTTGCCCCTGTGACATCAAAAGTCCTAAATAGGGGAAACACACTGCAATTATCCCCCTGAGACCTCTAGACGCATCCAGAATTAGGAATAACTTTCTTTTCTCGCAAAATAGAGATATCCCAGAAAATTGACAGTGACAAGATGATTCACAGGCTACAACATATTCAACACCCGTGTTAAATTCATCTGCTCCCGGAGCTGTGGCCATTAGAGAGGTGACCTGCATGGGTGACATTTAAGGTAAACTATTTAATTTCATCCAGTTATTTCATCATAAACCCTTTCCAAAGGGGTATGAGGACAGAAAAAAGGATTAAAAAAAAAAAATCCACATGCACTGGGCTGAAATACATTATAGGCATCCATGCCCTGAAATCCCCAGTTGCTCTGATAGACTTGTACCTGAGCCACCTTTATTAATGGGCAGATTTTAACACATTTTGGTAGAGCGAGAACAACCTGACAGTTATGGTTAGATAAAGTGACTGAGGCTCACAAGAAACTTTTCAACTATTTAAAAACCTCTCAAAATGTTTATTTTTAGGAGAAAGGGAATTCTCTTCTAGGCCAGCTATCAATGACACGTAAAAAATCCTCAGGAAACCCAGAGCGCACTTCCAATTTAACATGAGCTCAGATGACACCGCCTGCTTAGAAATTAGCATTCTCCCTCCTAAGATTTCTAAAACAGCCAACAAAAAAATCCTGCGTTCAGGCTGCAATCTCTTTCTTCTGCTCGGAGGTGTACAATATTCCCAGGAACAAGAGACAGACAGAACTATCAACTCTGCTTTGTCTCTGCAAAATGTTACAGGACAATCCGCGCCCTGAGCCTGACCTGCAGATGGCTCTTAAAAAAAAAAAAAAAAATTCCCCTTTACAGCTAACTGCAACCCAAGTCTCTTCTTCACCATCACCAAGAAAAAACAGTATCTATTTTTTTTAATCACAATTTCAGGGGCTTGACTGAACTAACCATTTCGAGTCTCATCTGCGGCACCACAGAACTGCAACTATTTATACAAAGCCAGCAAAGTATTACAATGAACACAAGGCCTGGGCGTTCGAGAGCTCGGTTTTAGAGGCTGAAATTGTAATTAAACTGCGAAGAGAAATGGACGCCAAGATTGGTCTTGACACTAATTACCAGAAAGAAAGACATTTATGCAAATTTACCAGAAGCCTGAACTTCAGCAGTACTGAAACGGAGGAGGAAGAAAGGAGGGGGGGGAAGGTAGAGGGAGAGAGAGAGACAAAAATTACCTTCTCTAATTCCAACAGATGAAACCTTAATACTTGTATGGCTTGAATCATCTGCAAAGACACAAACAACACGAGCATTAATCTCATTCCTGGATTTGGGGATATTTCCCACAGCCACCTCGGCCGCACTTTGTAGCTTGACTTTTCTCTAGTAGTAAATAAAAAGTTGTTTTGATTTATAGCAATAACACTAAAATTTAATAGCGGTGGCTTTGTGCGCTGTTTAACGAGAAGCGACCTAGAGTTAACAAAAAAAAAAAATCCCAATTGCAACGAAGCAACTGAATTATACGGATCATAAACATTTCTTAAAAAAAAAAGAAACAACCCTCTAAACACCACCATTGGCTCCTCGCTTTGTGAAAGCGGGTGCAGGACTCCTACAGTGGAGGCAAAATATTTATCCTTAACGGGGGAAGGAAAGAAAGAGAGAAACAACCTCATTTTCAGTGAATTTGCCACTGGTGCATCTCCAGCGATTGTAATCCTCTCTGTTTCCCATCGAGCTGCTTAAAAGGTGCGTGGAGGGGCTGGTTAGAGTGGAGATAAATCCATGCTCCTCTTGGGCAGGCAAGCTCACCATCAAGCCCGCCAGCTCCTCTTTGGATGGGGTTTTCCTTTATGTATATCCTTATGGGATTTTTTACTTCCAAGCAATTACCACACCATGTTTACTTGTAAATATAAAAGTAATCACTGTAACAATTGTAATTTTTAAAAATCCACGTGAGAAATTTTCAATTTAGCACCACCAAATCACCTCTCCAGATGACACAGAAGTTTTAAAAAAAAATAATAAATAAATGGGAAGGGAAGGGAGGGTGGGGGTGGGGAGAGGAAGAAGTGTTAACTCTTACCAAGTTATCCAGTTCGGGATTAGAGGAAAAGAGGGGTTTCTCTGCTCGGATCTAAACGTAAGAAAGGGAGGAAAAAAATAATAATAAAAATGATTTGAAATATGGAAGCAGAAAAAGCAGACGTTATTATTTCTTGCTTCATTACACTGTCGGGTCCATTATGTAACCTTCCGTGCAAAGCCCTGACTGCTGGATTTAGTACATCAGCCAAACACTTGAGCAAGTGAATCAAATACACTGAAAAATACCTATGGAGCTTCCCCGGCAGAGCCCGTCCCGGCTCCCGGGAGCCGCGCAGCGAAACTCCCGGCCGGGCACAGACTGCTCCACTTTATCCATTTTTTAAGGGGGACAGTAAATGCCGAGATTTCCTGATTTTTTTTTTCTCGTGTTTTGTTTTGGTTGGGGTTTTGGGGATTTTTCTGTTTAGGTTTTTATGCCTCTTTCAATAAGAGAGGGGGGAGGGGGAAACGCGCATCTTTATCTCAACAGAGACTTGTTTTTCTCGATACGATTTTTTTCCCTCTTTTTTTTTTTTCTTTTACTGTTTTCAACCCGGTTTTGCTGACCTGTTTGGCGAACACTGCTATGTCTTCATTGAAAGACTCAGAGGAGCAAACATCGCCTCCCGCTACCCCGGGCTCCCTGGGTGTGCATGTAGCTAATTCACATTTCTCAAAAATCAGTGCTAAAAGAGGGAACAGGGGGTGTCTGAAAGAAAATACAATAGTCACACACACAGAGGGGGGGAAAATATCATAATGAAACAAAAAAAAAAAAAAAAACCAAAAAAACCCCAAACACAACAATAGTTAGTCCCACAGCAGCGTGCATGGGGAAGGGGGCACCCACAGAGGGGGCTCCGGCACCCCCCGCCGCCTCCCGCAGCGTCCCGGCCCCTTCCCACAGCCAGCCGGCCGGCAGCCCGGCATCGCCCCGGCCTTTCGGCACTGCCTGGCCGCAGATATTGTTAATACAACCTTAGGACAAGCCAAGAATAAAACCCAAGCCGGTTCCAGCAGCCATTTTGAATTAACTTTCCTTGTCTTTAGGAAAAAAAAAAAAAAAAATAGAAAAAAATTAAAATCCCTGGGCATACACTTCTGCCTCTCATGCTTTTAATTCCCGCTTTCTGCTGGAAGATTTGCTGGGAGCGAAAGGGGGGAAGAAAACAAACCCAAACCAACAGAAAAGCATGAAAAGAAAGAATCCCCATCCAAAGGGGGAAAAAAAAAGGTGGGAGAAAAAGCCCTTACAGGCAGCCAGCAGAGCTCCGACCCACTGGCCAAGCCGGGCCGGCTCCCTCCGGCCTGCCCGGCCCTGCGCCCCGGGGCTCCGCAGCCGCCGGCCCGCGGGGGAAGCCAGGTGCTCCTGGGCAATCCCAGCCTGGAAAGCCTCCCCGAGAGAAAGGCAGCGTGTGCATCTGGTTCCCTCGCCCGTTTAATAATTTAAATAAATAAATAAGCGTGGGCGCACACACACGTATATATATGTATAACAGGGAGTTGTTGGTTTGTTTTGGTTTTTTTTTTTTTTTCTCCCAGGGCTTCATACCTATTTTTTCCCCTCTGGGTACTGTACACCACCGACTTTTAACCAACCCTTCAGATTTCTGATAAACCGATAAAGAAATCGAACTCTATGAATTTTATTTTCCTCCCCCTTCTCCTCACTGTCCTGAGAGTGATTTTTAAAGGCTCCTTAAACTTCCCTTCAAACTCCAGCTGGGCAGATACATTTTAAAAGCATCTGCGCCCAGTGTAATAACCCCGTCAGCTCCCATCTCAACGGCCTAGAAACTGCTTTACAAGTTGCCACATTGAGAAACATTCAATGCTGTCGGATAAAATACTTGGGGGGGGGAAAAAAAAGAAAACTAAAAGAAAATTTAAAAATAAAAAGTCTTGAGAGAAGCAGCTCTTGAGTTCTCTCAGCGCAAGGAAAGACGCATAAGGTGGAAAGTTGGGCAAAGCTCTCCAAACTCTCCCTGCTCCAAAACTCCGCGCACAGATTTACCACCGGGCGCAGGTTGTGCCCTGGGAATATTATTTTCTGCCTCCTCCTCCCGCGGTGATGCCTGCCGCCCCTCCAGCAAGCTCCTTTTCCCCCGAGCCCACGGGGACCCCAACCCCGTCCTCCCCCCGGCCTCCCAAAGCAACAACGACACGAAATTAGGAGCGCGGCCCTTTTCCGCGCAGCGCTCCGCATCCCGCCCTTCCCCTGCCCGCGCTGCCCCCCGCCCCATCCCGCGCAGCCTGCGCGGAGCCCTGCGCGGCACCCACCCGTAGATGGCATCTTTATCTCTCTTGAGGGCGTCGTTGACGGAGGCGCCCATGGCGGGGGGCATGGCGTTGGCGTGGGCGGCGTGCGGGTACTGGTGCGAGTGCAGCGGCGGCCCGTGGTTCAGGTGGTGCACGGGCTGCATGGGGCGGGCGCCGTGGGGGTCCCCGTACATGGTGGTGGGGATGCCCACCCCCTCCATGCCGCCGTAGTGGGGCAGCTCGTCGTACTGCGGGGCAGAGAGAGCAGACAGGGCGTCAGGGGGAGGCGGGGGCAGCGGCTCCGCTGGCCTGTCCCCCCCCCACCCCCGCCCGGGGATGAGCCGCGGTCCCCCCCGAGCGCGGCCGGGCTCCGCCGCGCCGGCCCCGGGGAGGGAGCGGAGGGGCTGGGCTGCTCCGGCCCGCAGCCCTCCGAGTCTGGGGCGGAGGAGAAACAACAGCAGCAACAACAGCAGTATTAGTGATAATAATAAAATAAATAAAAGTGGGGAAAAAAAAAAAAACCAACCAAAAAAACAACCCACCCCAATCCCCATCCCCAAAGTTCCCC